ATATTACACTCCGAGAACCTAATTTTTGATATGTTTACGATTTTAAAATTCACTCTTTTAATATGAAGAGTGATTGATTAGAAGTCCAAAATGGCCAACGAGTGAAAATGTCCGTGTACAGATGGATGTTCAAATGGATTCGCAAGAACACACCTTATGTTTTTAAACCATGTGAAAAATGACTATAAATTCCAGCCCTAATCGCTACGATAATTCGATAGAAACTGATTCAGAATTTTCTCCTGTGGGTGAAGCTTCGAACGAAAATAGCCGATTCGAAAAATTAGGAAAAAAAAGAAGGCGAAGTAATAATATTTGGAGGGTGTCCGCGAGACGCCGCATCGCGAAGAAACGATCGCTCTTTCGCGGAGAAATCTCAGCGTGGGCGTCGACGTTTCCGATGGAAAAAGAAGAGCGGGAAAAGAGAGAACAGGAGAGAGGCGGAGAGAGGAGACGAGAGCTCGAAGGAGGTAAATTGCCCCGAGATATTTAATCCCGTGGAACGGCCGAGGGGATCCTTTATTGGCTCGGCGAGTGAGCAACGGCCGAGAGCGAGAGATAAGTTTCCCGTAGGATCGATGGCCAATCGCGTTAAGCGATTTTCGCGCCTCGTTATCCTTTGTTTCCATCCGCCGGACGGACGTCGATGCCGATGCTATCCGTCTTTCTCTCTTAAACCCTCCTCTTCTCGGCAACCGTCGATGATCGATCCTCCGCGCGCGATGTTCTTAGATAAAAAAGATTTTCCAATTAAACGCCACGTAACTGGAATCTTTTATCATTGACCGAGCGGTGTGTGATTTTATTTCAACTGACATTCAGCGTTGCATAAAACGGCGTTCACTATCTTTGACCTTTTCTCGACGCCCATTACACGTTACATTGTATTCCGATGAGTCCAGATTAAGTAGATAAGCTGTACGACCGTCGAAATCGAGACTTCAATCTCGAGCCTTTCCCATCCAACGTATTAAATTCTATAGCGCCAAGATGAAATTATATTCGCTTCTTCCTGCTTGATAATAGCACCATTATCGCCTGTATAAATCACGCGAACCGAGTTTTTCCTACGACAAACGAAAGGTCGTTGTTTTCGTTGAAGCGAAGAACCACCAAATTAAGTTTAGTTTTCATCGAGTGGACACGGGTCCAAGATTAAATTGCCACCTGCCGGCGCGGAGAGCTTTCGGAAATTAAGCGACATTGTACCCTTAACGAATGGGGATTCAAGCCTACGTCTGACTGGGTAGGGAAAAAAGCGTCGAAGGGTTGCGATTGAAACAGAGATCAATTTTATTCCGAGGGTAAACATTTCACTTCTCGTTTCGCGAGACTTAAGGAGGTTGGGTAGATCACTCACGGGGCAGATGGTGAGAGGGGTAGTCCTATACTTATACATGGGTGCTCTATCGTGATACCAACTTTAGATAAAACAATTTGAATTCGTTAAATATCGTATTTATCAATGAATTTACAAAGAAATTAGTATCAAATAACTTTTTTTAGTGTTAAGAATATAAAGACGTCCTTGCGATAGACATAAAAGTTAATATTATTGAATTAAAAATATGTTTCATTGAGTTGGATCAGTTATACGTGAGAATCCTATTAATATCTTCCCTTTTCGTTCAATTATCTAAACAATTACATTGTAAATTCGCATTTTTCTTCTTTCAAATTGTTAAAAAATGTTCGAATATTCTATTACACTTTAACTCTTAACGATGTTACCATTTTTAAAAACTGTATTTTAGAATAATGACAAGATTTCTTGTATCTCCCATAAGAGCACGTGTATAAGGATATAAGTTTGACATAGATTTATTTACAAACTACGTTGTCAATCGTTCTGAAACTTTCACACAATATTTTTCATGCTTCTACTAGTAGATTAAAATAATTTTCAAAACGATTTTATCATATTCATTCCAGTAGCCAACCTCCTTGAATTTGAGAATCGAACTTTAATGATTTAATCCAGAGAAATAGAGGAGGTGTCAGTTTTGAAGTATCGACTTTCACGTAGTTTCAATTATTTCGATCAGAGTGACAGAGAATTATTTAAAGAGCGAGTGAGAGGTCGAACGAGGGTGGAGGGAAAATGGTTGGAGGAGCGCGTCGGGGCGAAGAGGTCGGGGGTACCTTTCGAGGCGTGGCATTATTGCCTCGGTGGTGGACTCATGGTGGTTAATGGTGACGACTACGGCGGTACCCGTGGTCGTCGCAAGCAATATCTGCTCGGTCACGTAGACTGACCTCAGCATCGAGCAATAACGACGTCCGCTCGGACGTTTCTACTACACGGAGGCCGAACCGAGGCACGTGAAGCACACGGAACAGGCCAAAGGTCCGTGCGAGTACTTCCCGGCGACGATATTTTTCCTACGGCTACCAGAAGGCGAGAAAGCTCGACGTGACTTCTTGTTTCTAAATACGCAGTTCCATCGATTTTCGTAATTATTTCACACTCGTTGCCTCGTCTCTTTGTCGCTCGGTCGTCTTAGGAATAAGGGAAGAAACAGAAGATTTTAGAAATTAGTTTTAAGCTTTCTCGGTTTTTAAGGCTTGAAATTGTAGACGCTTGAATGTCCTCTCCCTTAAACTTTTAGCGTTCGTCCTCTCGCGAGAACGTCGGAGGAAGATTTGCTAGGAAATTGCTCGACTCACCGTACATCTTCCCTTCGTCGGACAGGATGATTTTGCGACGGCCGCATGGCGGATATATAGTGAGAGCTTCCTGGAAGCTCTGCTCGATATCCGGCGACCATACACCCTCCGCGTCCGCTGCCGACAGGTCCTTCTCGTCCTGAAAAATACGAACCACCGTCGGATAAGATTGCCTGCCGATCGCACCGATAATACAACTTTATATCCATTTCCCAGAGGGTACGTAACGTTTAAGCTCTCTTTTCATTTTGAACCAACAACGCGCACCGATCCCAGTGGTACGAGTCAACGAATAACGAGCCATTCGTTGCCTCTTTTCTTCCATCGTTCTTTTTCCCTCAGAAATTTTCAAGTAGTTTAAAATAAATCCGAGAAGATTCCGACTTGGTCGACGAAATTCGAACCTTTTAATTAACCAATCGTTTAATTAGCCACTTTTTGCCCCTCGAAGTTCTCCGTTCGTTTTCAATCTTCTTTTTTTTTTTTTGTTTTTTTTTTCTCGTGTTCGCGAACGGGATCGCCGAATCGATAGCTGAAGTCGAACTTGGAATTTCAACGAATCGAACCGGTGGCGGAATCGGGAAGGGGGGGACGACACGGTCCGTGCTGCACGAACAGACGAGAAACGGACGATTACGTACGGCCGTTTTAGATCAAGCGCGGAAAGATAGAAAGGTGAAACGATCGGGAT